AAATAAATTAAGCGGATATAAATTTTATCTAATTCAATTTATTAATGATTTGAATCTGAATATATATATATATAATAGATATGACATATAATATGATGTAATATTATATATATATATCACAATTTAAACTTGATTTATTGTATTTTAATTAAAATTATTTTTTCTTAAAAATAGAATTATAATGTATTTTAGTTTTTTATAAAAACAAAAATGAAATGGATTGAATATAATTATTATATATTAAGAGTAAATCATCTCTAATGTAATATTTATGGTAAATCATATATAATTATATTATACTTTTAAAATCTAAAATTATTTATTAGTTTATTTTTTGAGAATTTCTTATTTTGGTTTTAAATTATTTTTTCTAAAATATAAAATAATAAATATATAATAATTTTACAATTTGTATTCAGATTATTGTATTGGATATTGAATTTTATTCAGATTTGAATATATTAGTAATAAGCACATATTCTATATATAAGATTTTGAATTGAATTCGGATATAATATATCATTGTCAAATTCGGATCCAGATTTATAATGATCCGGCCCAAATCTGACCCACTGATAGTCCTACTTTATAATTTATAAAAATAGAATTGATTAAATTTATTATTTTTATAATTAAATTTTTGAAAGAAAATTTTGACAAATCAGACATCTAAAAATTTTATTTAACCAATTTAATTTAACAAATTCATTACCTCTTAATTAACTATAGTTGCTACACATTACATAGCAAATATATTTATACATTATAATTGAGTTTGAATTATACTAATAGAATTTACTCTCTAAAAAGAAAGAATTTTTTATTAGAAAAGTATAAATATAAAAAATAATAAAAAGAAAAATATACAATCAAATAGTAAAGAAAAACTATAATATATATATAATTTTTAATTCTATACGTATATAAATTATAGACTGTAGTTTGATTTATATAGTTTATTTAAATATTAAATATCAAACTATATTATATTTTTTAAACATTATTTATAAATCAAACTAAACTATAGTTTAAATGATTTGATTTAATTTAATTTATTAAATATCCCTCATTATAATTTTTATTATGATTACCGTCACAGTTGCGTGCTTCCAGTCGATGCATTTTTACGTTATGTTTGTCGTATTGCTGATTGTTACCATGCATTATATATTTGTAACGAGTATTATAAAGGTTATCGTGCTTATACATGTAACAAAGATTTGATACCAGTGTTGCTGTAACGTTTCTTATGTTTAACCAATGGATTCCCCTCACGTTTTTTTCTTCTTTTGGGGAGAGAGAGGGAGGGGGTTGGCTGGGGATAAAGACATTAGTCCGGTGAAGCTTTTGCGCCACGCTCACAGTAACCTGCTGGCAACAAGTGAAATAAAGTTGCCATCACTCTCCGCGTAATTTAGCAAGCATCACATGCATGAAGAGATGCCATGGTTTGTCACGGAATTCAGTGGACAATTTGTTTATTACGTTAATTAAGATCGTCCAAAATGATGTCCAAATTTTTTTTTTGCAGTTGGTGAATCATCATGATTGAGATTGAACCCACTTTAAAAAATTGCCTTTGAACAATTTCAAGTGGGATTTCTTCTCTTTTTTTTTTTTCCCAGCAAAAGGCAATTTTTGTTTCCGTGTTTAACCATAATAAGGTGTTGATGGTTTGGTTTGTTTTAATTTGATACTTAAATTCAAATCAAATGATTTGTGACTTTTAGACACTAAACCAAATCACAATTCATGATTTGGTTTGATTTTAAATCATTGTCTGTGATTTACAAAATAGAATTGATTAAATTCACTATTTGACACAATTTTCCTAAAAATTGATCATCTATTTCTTATTTAACTTAATAAATTAATCATTTATTAATTAATTATAATAGTTATATATTTTACAATAAATACATATATATATAAAATATTACAGAATTTCATTCATACTAATGGCAATCACATTTTGAAAAAAAAAATAATTAGTTATTAGAATAAATATAAATATAAAAAACTAACAAAAAGAAAAAATATGCGGTTAAATAATAAAATATACTATATATATAAAGATAAGATTTTTAATTATGTACATATATGAACTATACAATTTTAGCTCAGTTTAAGTAATTTGTCTAAATGTCAAATATTAAACCAAAACCATAAAAAAATAAAAAAATAAAAAATAAAAAAAATAATCCCTTTTCAAACTGAATTGAACCAAAACAAATGAGAATATCGTTGGTTAAATGGTTTAGTTTAATATGTTAAAAAGCTCTACACTATAGTAGTTATTCACTTAGGCCCTGTTTGCTTGGCCTGCCTACTTTATCACCCTTTTACACATATTTTGTAACCTTGTAAATAATTAGCATAAAAAATTCAGGCAGCTGCCCTTATCTGGCTTTCTCAATTGAATCAAGATAAAATTATCAAAGTTTGATGGATGTAATAAAATTTATCCAGGATGATAAAATTTTTTTAAGACAACATTGCCCATATTCTTCTCAATGGGTACAATTACTGTACAAATAGGATAAAACTATTCTATCCCCCTTTCTCCTACTAATGCAACCAAACCACCTCTTAGGGCACGTTCGGTAGGCTGATGAGGGGTGAAAGATAGTTTTTATCCGCGTTTACATGCGTTCAGTTGGCATGTACCGAATTCAGATACAGATATGTATCCATATATTCAGATAACTAATCCGGCCGTTTGCGAGGGGATAAAATTTATCCCCCCTGATAAGGCTTTGAAATTCTCCCTAGCAGACAAAATGCCCCACCCTCCTCTTCACGACTGTGAAGCCAATCTTCCTCCTCCCATCGCACTTTGCCTACGACCAGTCGCTGCCAAATGCTCGACGATGCCTGAACGCTAGGAATGTTGGCATCGCAATTTGAACGCAAATTTCGGCTAGGAGTAGAAAATATGAAGTTGAAAGCTTCGGAAGCCGAGAGTCCGAGTTGCGAACACCGAACGCCCGAAGCCCAAACGCCTGACCCCCGAATGTAGAGCCCAAAACGAGACGACACCCAACGCCTGAAGCCCGAACGCGACGACACAAGCCAGATCTACAACGGAGATGTCGTGGGCGGAGGCAAAGCAGAGGGAGGAGGGTCGCTGGGGGTCGGCGCGGCCGATGAGGTGAGATGGATGGAGACGGCAGGCTCTATCATGCGACCCATCCGTCAGCTCTGTCGTGTGACCTGATCCGGTGGGGTGGCTGTACCTGTTTTTTTTAAAAAAAAAAATTCATATAAGAAATGGTATTTTGATAAATTTAAAATTTTATCTACTTTTCAAAAATTTTATCCCATCTATTATTGTTCAATTAAATGTGTGATAAAATTTATCCCATGATAAATTTATCCTGTTATATCCTTATCACCCTATATCCTATCCCCCATCCGAACGGCCCCTTAAAGTAGAAGTCACGGGAGATCTAAGGACCAAGTGTGCTGAGGGGGGAATGAGGGAGGTGGCTGAGATAGTGCTGCTGGTTCAAGAAGAAACAGGAAGAAGAAAGTACATTGAAAATTTTCCAAATTGAACGTGACGGAAAGACGAAAAGAAAAGAACGCGGAGATCAAGGAGAGAAATTTGAGTAAAGTTGCATTTGGGAAGGTTTTTGGTTTAATTTATTATGCCTTTATTCTTTTTGGTACATCAAATGTATGAACTAGTTAAAGTCTTAATTTAGGGAAAGCAAAAGTCAAATTTTTAATTTCAGATAAATCTTACAAGTTTCACACATACACACACACATATATATATATATTGTTAAATCAAATGTTCTCGATTATAATTTTAATTCGACACATTTTAGGACACATTTTAACTTTACATCTGGGATCAACGTTGGTTTGTTGTGATCCAATTCGAGCCATTTAATAGTTAATTTGATCAATAAAAGACCAATGGTTAAGCTGGTCTTTCCCGTAGAATTTAATGGTTCAATTAACTTCAATATTCCACTTGGAAAAGGTGTCAGATTTTTTTTTTTATGTTCTGTGGTTATTCATTTAAAAATATTGGAACCACCCCCCCCCAAAAAAAAAAAAAAAAAATCTATATAATCACAGAGGAGCACTTCCATTTTTTTGTTTTATTTTATATACATTCTGGAAGATCCTTAGTGAAAATAATCTTTGTTTTTCTTCCTAGAGAACTCTTAAGTCCAAAGATGTGCCAAGAAGAAAACAGAATTTCACAATAAAAATTCAAGCATGGGTTGACCTCCTGTATTACTTTCTGTGATCAGCTGAGAATAATTAATATAACCATTTTAGTTGCATCCTCAGTGATTTGAGGAAATTGTTAAATCCGCCACCAAAAGTCAGAGCCATAAAGGACAAGGAGAGGCCAATAACACATTTTTCATTAAATATAGTTATGAAAACAATTGAGTTATACATAATTTACAAACATTATGTAAGAAACTAGTTGGACTACAATTGGACCCGCTGTCTTAGTAAGGAGCAATGATCTTTACCAACGTCACGAGAGCAAATATCTCCCTGTAAGCTGTCCAAAATTATCTATTTGGGAATAAAAATTGTCTGTCTTAGTTGGGTGTCAAAAAACAAGGGAAAAAATATATATATGTGTAGGCTCTTAGCCTCTGAACAAGAATAACAAAGCTGGCTCATCTCGGCAATCTGGAATTCCATGGAAAGAGAAACTCAATTAGTAAGCTTTAAGAGATAGGGCAAGTAGTCGTAGAAACTCCTTGCTTTGTTGCCGGCTTTCATAGTATATATAAGAGGTTGCTTTCTGCTTTCGGCCTCGGCAATCTGGAATTCCATGGAAAGAGAAACTCAATTAGTAGACCTAAAAGAAGCAGTCCCGACCGCCACCCCCTGGGGGGGGGGGGGGGGGTGTGGGGGGGTGTGGGGGGGGTGTTGGTGTTGGTTGGCAGGAGAATTCAATAAGGGAAGCCAATGTTACCTCCAGCATGAATAAATAGGTTACTAAGAACCTTCTCCTTGTAACTTTAAGATCCAACAAGACCCTTGTAGCGAGAATAGAAAATTATAATTGCAAATATGGCAGCTGATAACAGTCCTGCAAAGATGACCACCTGGCAACATCAAGGCATTCAAGTCAAACTGAATAAAGAAACAAATATTTACAATGACTTTGATAACATTTAAGAGCTGATAATTCCACCCATACCCATTTAAACACGTATCCATGATTATCATTCCATGTATACGGAATATTCATGCCAAATATAGCACCTATCAAAGAATAGATGGACAAGCAAACAGTTCCTGAACTTAAGAAAAGCTCTAGCTGCATCAACAATGAAATAATTATAACGAGTCTGTAGAAAATCCCACAGTGCCAGAAAACCAAGACAAACTATTTTCATCATTATCCTGTAAACACAAAATAACCATACCTGAATCAACTGGTTTCGGTGATTGTCCAGCTGCAGAAGGGGAAAATAGCGTATTCAGACAGTATATACAAATGTCAACCCATTTAATTTAATCAACTAGTTCCAAGTTTACCCACCAATGCCAGCTGATTACCTGAATATTAATATAATCCTCTGTATCATCAATATATTCTCGCAGCTGCAAAATTTTCAAGCACAGATCAATTCTGATAGTCAATCTAAGGTTTGCATTTGGGTGTGTGTATGCGCTTTCTTGTTTTTTTTTTTTTTTTTTTGGGGGTGGGGGGGGGGGGGGGATGGTTTGCAGCAATAAATAGGTGGCAGTTAGACTGAGTCACTGAAAATTGCAGAACCCTAAAAATATTTGATATATACTGACTACATTCTACATGGCGTTTCTCAAAATGAAGTAGATCAAGCTTACGCTCAGAAAGTGAGACCAGTTGGTGAACCACAAAGGTCCAAATTAAGCAACGTGGGTTTGCTATCCAATGAGACTTAACCGCCTTTGGACAGTAATGTCATACTGCTATCATTACAGTAGATAATTTAATGAACACATACTGATAAACTTAGCCTATCAAAATGAACAAGCATGCTTGAATGTTATGTGAGATTTTAGATGGCATGATGAACATTCCATTATTAATAAATGTTGGCTAAAATATAGGTCCCATTTACTGAATCATCTGACACCATCAAATCAACTGACTAGAAGGGGCAGGAGAAAGCAACATTACCGAATAAGTCCATTAAAAGCCAAAACACATCAAAGTTGTAGCCCAATGAAAACAAAAGAAAAATGTGATAAACATGTTCATGGTCTTTATTTGTACTTACCTTGGTCAATCAACTATTAAAACAGATCCTAGATTGCCCTTTGATTATCAATCTTATCCATACAATGCAAGAAAGTTATACAAATTCACCTACATAAATATTCATTTTTTAAATCAAATATCATAATCTATCCCCAGCATTTACCCTTCATCTATTAGATTTCTGACACAGCAGTCTAGTAAAAATTCTGAACTATAACATAAATGCTAACAGAGGTATATTCCCATATAATTAACAACAGAAATCAAAATGAAACTGCCCTGCCTGACGACCAGACACCAACACACCCCCCTCCCCCCAAAAAAATAATATTAATAATAATCATAAATTAAAATTCCCACCTCCCATAATCCCATTTTGAAAAAACAGCTTAAGGGACTATTAGTCTAATGGACTAGCAATTCCTTGTTTGTTGTTACGAAGGATTGGACAAGAAGGATAAAAAGTATCCCAGATAAGTTATTCCGCAATTCCACCTCCCCCTTATTAATCGCTTATATCCAGTCATTGGATCTTAATCAAAAAGTCTCAATGCAAAATTGTCACACTTTATCATAACTTATATCATCTTCAATCTAAACATAATACAATCTACATACTACATATATTTAATCCCTTCTTATCCTATCCCATGATTCCAAGTATTCAATCCCATACACTTCAAGTCCTCTACTATTAATACCAACATTTCTAATCCCTCAAAAATTGCAAAAAATTGTGCCCAAAGGGGATACTTAAAGATAGTTCACGTGTAAGAATACTAGATTGGATATGTTGATTCAACATTCCTGAGGGAAACAAGAATAAGAAAACAATGCTGAAAATAGTGCTGCTAATGGGAAGATCAACCCAGAACAGAGTATACAGATGAACAAAATACCTACTATATTATATATGACTGAACGGCAAAGCGATATTTCTAAAAGATATCATATGGGAGAAGCATTTTCTTTTCCTCCTCTTTTTGGTTGGGGGTGGAGGAAGGGGTGGAAAGATGCTATCCTTAATTTATGGGCTTCCCTCAACAAATAGCAGCAAAAGAGGGAAAGTAAAACCTCTGAAGTTTATCGCTTGTAGTTATCCATTCTAATATATGTGTAAGCACATCCTTTTCATAAAAATACCTTTTTTACCACAATAATATTGCAACAATTATTCATCAATCATGTTGATTGGTAGGAAGGGATTAAATCAAAATGAATACAGCATACATACTGTAGTCAATTTGTTCAACGTTCCGTCAATTTGCATGAAGTAAGCCTGCAAATATAACACCACTTCATTCAGACATTTAACTTCGAGAGGAGGAAAAAAGGAGGGAAAAAAAAAAGGCAGAATACCTCAAGCAACATTTCCAGCTCCTCAACATTGTTTTCATCATGAAATGTAGCTGTACTCATCCTACTTGCTCTAGATATCTTGGATCCTATAGTAGGAGATGCAGGAGACCAATTGGTGGCCCCTGAGCCACTTACAGGAGATGCACCAGCCAATTTTCTGGATAAGTAAAGATCAGCCATATCATCATCATCATCCAGTAATTGTTCAAGCTCATCTCTCACCTGCAAAAGACCAATATTTGTGAATAAATATCAAATATCACAAACTTGCGGCCAAAGTAACCTCTCTCAAACACATATCTTATGAATGAATACAATTAAAACAAAACTCGTATATACTATGGATACTAGTCCATATACAGGTTATAATTAAGAAGAAACTTTTATTTTCTTTCTGAAAATTCAAGTGAAAAATAATTTTGGAAAGTCCTCGTGAATTTTACCAAGTCCACCTCTACTAATATATCCACACTTAGTACAAAGTTTACAATTTTGCCACATGTTCAGTTCATCAAAATCCACAAAGTAAAGTTTTAGTTGACCATAAAGAATTAATAAGCTATGTTGGGAGTTGGCCTAACTCATGTCCCATAATTTGACTGGACTTTTTCCATTTCTTTTTTTGGGTGAGATTAAGTTGTGAAAGGAAAGGAATCTTCATCCTTCATCATATCGAGAAAATACATAGAACAAATCTGGTCAACTCCTTTAACTGATATGGAGCTGGTTCTATGATATTCTTTTCCCAATATTGGCATATATTGACAACACAAAGTAAAGTTAGTGCAAAAATGGAAACGTAACAAAAGGATTCTTTTCAAAAAAATATTTTCTGTTCTCTCTGATGAAAAATGGAGAGCTAATTTACCTTTTCTTTCAGATTTTTCTTATTTAGAGTTATATTTGAATATTTTTAAGAGTTTGAATCGCTTTAGGGAGACTAAGTTACTTTGGAAATGGATTTATTTAGAAAGTTTTAATTAATTGCAAGTCTAAGAAAGCTTTAACAATTTTGGAATTTTAGATTAAGGAAAGAGCATAAGTTTAGTATTTGATGCTAGCACTATATATTTCGATTCTGATGTAATGAACCCAGATTGGAGTGGTTTTTACAACCAGAGGCTTGGTTGCCATGGTGTTTCAGCAATCTCTTCTTGGTCCTGCATCACCCTTTCTACAAGAACACTCAGTAACCAACAAAACAGAAGATCACTTAAAAATTTTCTAAATTTTCCTGGAAAAACTGAGGGAACCATATAGAATCATAGCCTATGCAGCCAAATGCATTTTTTTTTGTGCAAACCAGATTCTGGAAGTTACATTCAAGTTAGTTCACACATGGATTGGATGGCCTTACTGTTCATTAACCAACAAAACTCAACAAATAATACATCCATATGTAGTGATAACTTCACCAATTGCAGACCTAGAGCTATGCAGTCACCTAGAGTTACGCAGTCCTGCAAGGTAGTGCTCTCCCTACATATTTACGCATAAATCATGCGCCTGTACGCCTACAAGAGTGGCTTCTTCTACATGGTTAATTGTTCATTCTCTGTAACTTAAATATCCTGGTCTCCTTAGAATTTTGTGCATTGCAGAGAGAGCACTCAGACTCCTGGATATCTTAGAAAACAAAGGACTTTGTCCGAACATATAAAAAGAAGTTAACATACCTTTTGAACCCGAGCTGTCAACCGTGTCATTGAACTCTTCAATTTACGAACCCGATCTAGGTTACGACTACTAATCTGTAAATCAAAGTTGTCATGTGTAAAACAGAGATATACATAAAAGAAATGAAGGCACACAAAGAGAAAAACAAAAGCATCTGAGCAAAACAACCACAAGCATATATTCTTGACTGAACCCAGCAAGAATTAATCACAAATTCACTTTTTTTAGGGAGCTGGAGGAAGGATTCATATGCTTAATTGACTACATGCAAAATTTGTGGTGCATTTACCTTATGTTTATAGTAAACTTTGAGCTTGAAACAATAAGTGTTCAGCAGTCCCAGGTAAGAGAATCATGAACTCAAAACCATGCTTGCTGAAAGTAAACAAAAGCATACCTTGGAAGTGAGTTCATCCAAAGCAGGATAAGCAGCAGTCTCCAGTTCTGTTGTTTGTGCAGCAAGATAACTACAAATGGCTTCCAAAGCCACCTCCAGAGCCTGGAATTCAAACGGAGATTCTGTTTAACACACTATAACATCAAATATAGCCAGAGAAAAGAATGAGAAAACTGATTCAGAAAATATAGAAAATTGAACAAAAAGTTAAGTATTATACATAGAAAGATGAATCATAAAGAGAACACTTAAACTGGAACTTCACTTAGAGAAAAATAAGCAATTAAGAGAGAACCAAAACAGGAACCTTTTTTTTGTTATCTTATTTGTCTTTCCCTTTAAACTAATAGATTGTTAATCCAATAGGAAATACCATCTTCTTCACCAGTATCAATATCCTGTTGCCCAGCTATCTCCTTTCCATCACTTTGACCTTCAAGATTAGAGTTCGCAGGAGGCAATCGCCTCCGTAGTTCCTCAACAACAGGCACAACATTATCATCCATTGGATCTCGGAGCAACACCTGTTCAAAACACAAATTTGGCTTATTCAGAACCAATATGTGCAAATCAAAAGCTCTTCCCTTCAGTTAAGCAAGAAATATCAGATACAGGAAATTTAGCATTCTTCCAAGGGTCTAATCAATAGCAATGCACCTCTGGGGAATGGAACAAACACTGCACCACACATAGATTTAATAGCATCATAGTTATGCTTGACTAATTGCAAAACCCAATCATGGAGAGAAGGAAAACTAGGGGAAAAAAAAACTGCATTCCCGCTTGATGTTGAAAGCAAATTACTTGACTGGATGCCTATCTGGTAGATAACTGAAAAAGTCGGAGAGCCCGAAGTTCAAGCATGAATGGTATAGGCTTAATTACTGTATCACCAAATTACCTGACTCAATGCTTATCCGGTAGATAACCAAAAAAGTCAAAAAACCCCAAGTCAAAGCATGAATGGTACAGACTTAATTAATGTATCACCCTTCACAACATAGAGTTGTTGTAAAACAAGAATAAAAAAACTGCATTCCTGCTTGACATTGAGAAGCAAATTACTTCACTGCGTGCCTATCCCGTAGATAACTAAAAAGTTAAAAAAGCCCCAAGTCAAAGCTTGAATGGTACAGACTTGATTAGTGTATCACCATTCACAACATACAGTTGTTGAAAAGCAACAATAAGAAAACTTCATTCCTGCTTGACGTTGAGAGCAAATTACTTGACTGCATGCCTATCCTGTAGAAAGCTAAAAAAGTCAAAGAGCCCCAAGTCAAAGCATGAATGATACAGACTTAATTGGTGCATCACCCTTCACGACATATAGCTGTTGGAAAACAAGAAAAAAAAAAAAAAACTGCATTCCTGCTTGACGTTGAGAGCAAATTACTTGACTGCATGCCAATCCAGTAGATAACTAATAAAGTCAAAAAGCCCCAGTTCAAAGCATGAACGGTACAGACTTAATTACTGCATCACCCTTCACAACATATAGCTGTTCGAAAACAAGAATAAAAAAAGGGCATTTCTGCTTGACGTTGAGAGCAAATTACTTGACGGCATGCCTATCCTGACCTGTAGATAAATAAAAAGTCAAAGAGCCCCAACTCAAAGCATGAATGGTACAGACTTAGTTACTATATCACCCTTAACAAAATATAATTGTTGACTTCTCGTATAGCTAGCTGACCATTAATTCTCCCAGAAAAGAAAGTCTTGAAAGAAAACCAAAAGGACAAAATAACTGAAATTGGAAGTAAACGTCTTCTCGATAGTCAGCACTGGTAACTAAGACCTATAATTGACTTTTACTTCCTTACTACACATAATCCATATGTTCAGTTGACTGCAACCACTGACTTACTCGTTACTCTGATTAGTTCCTAGTAAAATCCTCACATAGATGCGTTTATATTTGTTCTGTTCCTCAATTACAAGACTTTTACTTAGCTCATACCGACCTCAACCAACTAAACCTTCAACTTTAGATGGATTCCATTAACCAACAAAAGTTCAACTTAACTGTCAGAATCGGAAACAAAATTCGAATGACGACGGTCTTACTTTACCTCTTTGGCAGTAATAATCGCCTTAATATGCTGCCCAGCAAAAAGATAAAAACAAGGAAACAATATCAGTGAAATAATAACCACATAAATGATGCTGCATATCACACGCATAAATAGTTAAATTTCAATTTCACCTCCAAATTGAGAACAATGGCCTTCTCACGGCCGAGTATTGTGGAAGGATACGACAGGAGGGGATCGAGGATGCGAAGATCGCGAGCATGAATTTGGGCTCGGTGCATTATGGCGTACTTGTCGGCGTCCAACACGGAGCTCTGCCCCGTTGCGTCCATCAGGATCCAGCAACGCGAACCTGCCGCCCTCTTCTTCACTATCCCTTGCGGATCAGCTGGCACGATGCTCCCGTCTCGGCCCATTTCAAATAATTCCCACGATAAACCAACCAATCAGCAAGATATATTTCTGTACGTGCTACGTTGCTTCCGCATGTCCATGCAGAGCACTGAGACCCTAATTAGAGATTCGCATGGCCACCAATTAGGGTTCTTAAGAAAGAAGTTCGCAAATGAATCACATGGTGAGAGGCAGAGGCAGCAGTTTATGGATACAGAGGAAGAGACAAACTGGACGATTCTGCTCCCTGCTCTTCCTTGCGCAGCGACATCTGCTGCCTAATTTCGCCGACTTCTCGGGAATTTTTGTTCAATGTCCGACTTCTTTTTGTTCTCTTTTTAGAAAGAACGTTAAATTATTTTTTTCTTAATTCGGTTGAGTTTGAAACAAGAGGAAGAAAATTCAGAAATGATTACTTAAATTTGACCAGTGAATCTAAAATTCGAAATGGTAGCAAAATATTGCATTTTTAAATTAATGTAAATATTTATTACGGGCTTTTATTTAATTAAAAGTTAGTACTCCATGGCATTCTTATTTTAAAAAAAGTACTTTTATAATTTTACTACACTTAAATAACAGTTGATGACAATTTTATTAAAGAAAAGCCTGGGAGTAATGTACTTTCAGTTACTTCAACCACGTATTTGATTAAAAATTAAAATTATATATAACTTATTTTAGAAATTATTTTTAAAAAATTTTGATATTTACTTTTTAATTTAAAAATTTTTCAAACTTAAAAAATTTAACTTTTAATAGTTTAATTTTAGTACTTTTAATTATTTTAAAATTTTTATGTTTGAACTTTTTAGTTTTATCTGGAATATGAAAATAAGAATAGGAAAAAGTTAAATAAAACTAAAAAAGTCCAACAATAAAAATTTAAATAAAATAAAATAATATTATCAAAAGTTGAATTTTTTGAGTTTTTTTTATAGATTTTTAATTTAAAAATTAAAATCAAAATTACAAAATAATTTTTTAAGTAAATCAAATAATACTTTAATTTTAATTAGATAAATCATATAAACAAGTTAAATTAAGTTACTCTTGTTTTTTTAAACAAAAATATTAGATAATCATTAATCAATATTAGTTAGGGAAAAAAGTACTATTTTCTAATAGGAATAGAATTGAGTATCAAAATAATTTTTTTTGATCATATAATTTATTATTATGTTATATATATATATATATATATATGTGTGTGTGTGTGAAAATTTAATGTGTTAACATCCATCCTGCCATTAGTCATCATTAAAGAACTTCCTATAGAGCATAAATTAATAGGTCAAAATTTGTCTCCTACAAAATGCTTGATACGTTCAAGATGGAAGCCTACGAAGGTGGTGATTTTTCTTATTATGAAATAATATATATTTTTTTGATTATTTTTAATTTATAATTATGTAAATACAAGAAAATATGTTTTTGATCTATTATCCTATTTAAGTACTTTTAAATTTAAAAAAAAAAAAGAGGGGGAGGGGGAGGAAGAAATCATGGTCTAAGAGGAGAATTAGATCACCTTTTTCCCTACTCAGTCCTCACTGATAGTTCAGTTCTTTCTTGAATTTGATTCTGTTTAATTGTTTCATTTTGTTAACTCTCGTATAAAATCAAGCGTAAAGAAATGCATTGTTGAATTATTGTTTGATTAGTAAAATATAAATCTAAATTTAAATTAAATTAAGTAAATTTAAATCTGAATTCAATTAGTCATTTTCATATTCAAATTTAACCCAATCCTATAAATTTGTATTTATTAAACTTTATCTAAATCCGATAAATAATCAAAAACTAATCTGATAAGAAATTAATACTCTTTTGTACTAAACTCTCCTAACTTTATTTTATCAATCATATTGGTCTCTAAATTTTCTAATTTTTTGAATTTATTTTTACACATTTGAATTTATTAATATTACTTATATAAGATCATTAGTTTAACCAAAAAAAATTATTAAAATTCAGATTTAAATTTTTAACGGATCGGATTAATTAATTTCATATTCGATCTACTTATTTCGAATTATGAATATTTATAATTAGATTTAACCTATCAAATATTTTTATTCGAATTCAAATTTAAAATCTATATCAAGTTTAAAATGAATTCAAATTAAAATTCAATTCATTAATACTTTATCTACAGAATAGGCTGCTGAAAGATAGAAATAATTCATAACTTAGACTAGAAAAATAGACATCATAGTTTTATAAGTTAGTATTATAACCTTAGGACTTGTATGTTTTAACCTTTGACTGGGTATATAATTTCCAATTTGGATGGAACTGTTAGTTGATAGGCAAAAAGAGGTCGGCTTCTTTGTTGTGTTGTATTTTTTTTGATTTTCTATGTCTATTTCTGGGCATATGCTGGGAAAATAGCCAACTTCATGACTTCCCCGTGGCCGGCTCAAAATAACCATTGCCAATATAAGACTCATTTTCAACGTCAAACGAACAAAGGGAACGATTTCAAGTAAGAGTTTCACGAGATCGAATTAAATTGATTAAATCAAATAAATGAAATCAATTTGGGATCTAATTCAATTTTATATAAGTTATGATTTGATTAAGTTTAAGTTAAATTTTTTTCTCACAGTTCAATTTTAAATTTAACCATAAAATTGAATTGCATAAACTAAATTGGGCCATGAAATATGTTTGACTTTGCAATTTAATCCTTTAAATTTCTTATTATTTTGTTTTAGTCCTTCCACTTTTTTCCTATCATTTCAATCCCCAGTTTCCTTTCCTTTATCTTTTTTTATTTTTTTTATGGCCCCCAAACTTCTAATTATTTCAATTAACCATCTAATTTTGTTATTACATATCATGTCAATATTTAATTTATTGAAATTAATAAATTTTCTTGATGGTCATTTTTTTAATTATTAAATTTAATTAATTTTGTTACAAATCTACAATTATATAGGGATAAAGAGTTGGTAGAAAGTTTAATAAATTTAATTTACAAATTGTGATTTCAAACCGAACAAAACTATGAACTGTAGTTTAGTTTAATTTGATACTTGAGAGTTCATAATTTAGTTTGATTTTAAAAAAATATAAATCATGAGGTATGCTTTATTTTGAAATTGACCCTTAAAGTAAAGCAAACCAAACCACGAACACCCCTAGGTTCAAGCCACAATTATGGTAAAAAGTCACAATATTTTATGTGTGTTTGAATTAATTTGTGCAGAATTTCTTTATGATATAAAACTTAAACAAAAATATGTTATATTTCATTATTCCATATACCAAAACCTTGTCTATTAAAGTTTAATTCGGTTAATGTTTACTTTTGAAAAAAAAAAGTTACAATACCCTCCTATATTTTAATTAGCTTATACAAAACCACATCTTAATATAAGAATTAAAATAAAATATATTGTTATTCAATATTCCTCCACTTGTTTTATGTAAAATATTTGTAAATTTTACTTTTTTATGATTTAGTTAAAAATTAAAAATAATTCTTTGATTAAAAATATTAATTTTTCACCATTCATTCTTTTTAAAATAAACTCAATTTTTTAATATTGAGAGTTGAATGTCTCTAATTATTTTTTTTTACCCCTCTTTTCATTCTTTCTTTTTATTAAGTATATTTTATCTTTTTTAATAATTTTTTTATAATGATCACTTATTTCATTAAAATAATCAAAATAAAATTAAGAATTCTAAACTTTTTTAAAAGAAATAAAATAAAAGATAAAAAATAAACAAATTTTAATACACTTTACTCATTTTGATTCCAAAATCTTCCATGCTTTTATATATTAAACTCTATCTTTTATATTCTTTTAATTAAATTGTTAATTCAGCTATTATAATTTAACACTATTAGTTGTAAGGAAAAAAAAAAGACAAATTTTCAAAAAATCTTAAAATACAAAGGAGTTCGGCTCGATTTCATGTCATGGAGAAATTTTATGCACCCCATAGAAAAGGAAGGTTTTATGGCTATAACCCCCACAATCAGTTGCCCACAAAACCTACAAATTCATTCCCAATATCACCACAAACCAATTCCGGGGCCAACTTAAACTGACCATACCCAAAATACCACCCGTTCTCAACATCAAACTTTACCAAACAAGATAAAGGAACGAGTTTGAGGCCACAATCAACTACCTTCAAAACTCAGTCCCTTCCTAGTGTCACCACAAATCACTTATGGGTCACTTTTGTACAAATAAGCTTGAAAAGCTAGGCAACTGGCAACTTATACCAAGTTCACCTCTGGAATTGAAGGATGCACTGCTTAAGTGCACAAAGAGCTAAGTTTTCAAGGACGTAGCTTAGTGGTAGTTGCAATCCTAAAAGTCACTTAATTTTTTTTCTGCAAACTGGAACAGGTATCGTGGGAGTGGCTAGAGGTTTGCACTTACCTTAACAGTGGAAGATGTTGGGTAATTAACGAGCCCGATAAAGTAAAAACCGCGGCTAATAATGAGATGAAATAACAAAACAGGGACACAAAAATTTACGTGGAAAAACCCCAAATAAATTTTGGGTAAAAACCACGGGCAGGGAATAGAAGAATTTCACTATGAAGAAAATAGGAGTTACAACTTTTCTCTATTTAAGGAGATAAATAATACTAATATCTCTTAAAATAGGAGAAAAAATAAAAACTCTCTAACTTTTTCTCTCTATACTATTTTTCTCAGTGGCTTTCGGATGCCTTGGGGGATGGATTGAGAAGTTTGGGGGGAGGACCTATTTATAAGTCTCACACCCCCCCTTTTGTACACGGTATCAAAACCGCATTTTGTCTTTCTTTCTGCTTTTTAAATCAGTTGAAGCATTGTGCAAAATACAGCTTGTGTGCCGCAATGTCCCGCTAATGGAATTGGACCTGCATGCTGCAACCTCCCTTTAAACAAACAAAAGAAGATGGAAAGTAAATAGGGCTGGACCCCACAATCTCTTACATGAAGATTTGATTGAATATCAATCATATTTTCACACCATTCTTTCTATCATATCATTTCTATGTTACTTA